CACCCGTAAGAACACTAAATCTCATTGTCTACAGCATATTTACTTCGTCAATTCTAATAGACACATCGGGAGTTTCAGATGGTGAAGCTATGTTCCTGAAATACTTTTATTAGATGATAACCCATCAAGGATATGATGTTATTCAGTGAGTACAGCTCGGTTCATTTGTTTGTGCTTATAGTCCATGTGGGTTCCTTCCCCAACCCTATCGCTTGTATTTATTTTTTTAAGATTTTATTTATTTTTTGGATAGAGAAAGAACGAGAGAGAGCATGAGAAGGGAGAGGGTCAGAGGGAGAAGTAGACTCCCTGTGGAGCTGGGAGTCTGATGTGGGACTCAATCCTGGGAGTCCAGGATCATGACCTGAGCCGAAGGCAGTCGCTTAACCAGCTGAGCCACTCAGGCGCCCAACTCTATTGCTTTTAATAGTTTATTTTGCTGATACATGAAACCATACTATAGTTGTAAGAGTCAGAGTTACACAAACGGACGCACTCAACAAACCATTCCTCCCTCCTCACCCCTGCTACTCTGTTCCCCTTTCTCCCTTCTTTCTACTCCTTTCTAACCTTCCCTCCATAGATAACTCACCTCCTTTGTTTTTGATTTATCCATTCTGAATCTCTTCTGCATAAATAAGCAGAAAATGTGTTTTCTTATAACCTATTCATTCTCTTACGGAGGGTAATGTACTACGGATACTCTCTTCAACTTGGCTTTTTCATTTAGTCATACATTCTGGAATTTACTCCTTATTACATCACAGAGATCTCTCTCTCTCTGACTCGTTTCTGTAGCTGCATATTCCACGATTCTGAAAGTGTGCCCTAGTTCACTCAACTACTCTCTTATGTGTGGATATTAAAGTTCATCCCAATATTTTACAGTTCCAAACAAGGTGGCTACAGATATCATACGGTTTGCAACCACACTTCTGATGGCTGAATTAGATAAGAAAAGAATAATAATTTTTAAAAGAACATATAGCTAATTTTAAGAAAAATTCTCCAGAAATGTTCTACGCCAAAAGCTAAGATAGAGTACCGATGAAAAGTCCACAAAGGGGAAGTCTGTCCCAACAAATAGAGTTCTACAGGTGGTCTTTACAATGCTGCCGTGTCCGTGTGAACAAAAAAATATCTCCCATGAAGAAGTTGGGAAGGGAGCACCATTTGTCTTACAAAAAACACCTCTTCTCCGAACTCTGTCTTCAATAAAGCAATCACAGTAACACTAAAATAGCCAAGTCCAGAATTAAGTGCTCAGAACCCAGAATTGTGGAGTAAAAGGAACCAAGCACAAATCTCACATTCCCTTAAACTTTTCTGCAAATCACATCGCTGTTCCTCTTAGCATAACTGATATCGTGTCCAAAATAGAAATGTTCACAGAGCGCTCCCCACTTTCCATCACTCAGGGTTTTTCCTAGAGGCTTAAAAAAGGTCAATATTAGGAAATTACTTTTTTTAGCTCATTAGAGATTAATGCACTTGAGAATATCTCATGAGTTCAAGAAATTGCATGAGGAAGATTCCTTCCACTCTGGCCCCATGGTCCTGAGCTGAAGAAATACATTTCACCTTGTGGCGGGGTGTGTGTGTGTGGGGGGGGGGGGGGGGGGAACAGCCCACCGTCAAAGAGCTAAATGAGTAACTGAAGCCAAATGAATTGGGCTCTGGTATTTAATATCCTATTCTAGTTAAGAAAGAAAAAGAAAGAAAGAAAGAAAGAAAGAAAGAAAGAAAGAAAGAAAGAAAGAAAGAAAGAGAGAGAGAGAGAGAGAGAAAGAAAGAAAGAAAGAAAGAAAGGAAGGAAGGAAAGAAAAGGAAAAAACATTGGCCTCTGCTACTCAATTGATTTTGCAACCTCTAATGATTATCCAGAACTTCAGTCTGGAACACACTTTCAGAGCACATGCTTTGAAGCCAGAGAGATGTGAACTGGAATCCTAGATGTACCTCATAGCCAACTCAGAAGCCCTTAGCCTGTGTAAGCCCATGTCCTCCTACATAAAGTAGGGACAATATATCCCAAAACTTGGGATCGTTGCATTGACTAAGTAAGAATGTAGGTAGCACAGAGTAGAATAAGCAGTAAATGAAAAGGGTAGTTTTCATTAAGAATGGTAAAAAAGGAAGAGAAGTGGAGATGCTCTCCTAGATGGTTCTGGGAGTCAACAGGCAGCCGCGACCGAGTCTACTCTTTATGGATGGAAAATCATGAAGTCTAGGAGCCTTTGTCGATAGTCTCCTTTCTCCCTCTAGAACCCACTCTAGCGCCCAGTCAGGTGCGAATCCATGGGAGTCAGGATTGGGCTGTGGCTGGTCCCATCCTCTCAAACCAGGTTTATGTCCAGCATGGGCATTCTTGTTCCATAGGAACACTCACATGAGGGAAAACATTGTTGTCCTGTTGGTTACCTCCAGTGAGTGGTAGTTTCCAGATTCTGGAGGGCATCCGAGGGCACTGAGGACTTGTAAAATATTCAGATTCTGAGCGTACTGGAGTTCTTGGTTCAGAATGATCTGGAGCAAGACTCTGGAATCTATATTTAAAATATAAGCATGTGGGTGCCTGGATGGCTCAGTTGGTTAAGCAACTGCCTTCAGCTCAGGTCATGATCCCAGAGTCCTAGGATCGAGTCCCACACCAGACTCCCTGCTCAGTGGGGAGTCTGCTTCTCCCTCTGACCTTCTCCCCTCTCATGCTCTCTTTCATTCTCTCTCTCAAATAAATAAATAAATAAAGTCTATGAAAAAAAAATATACATATATAAGCACACAAGCTCACATACACTCCCTAAGTGGTTGAAATACAGCCAGCTGAGCTGGCAGATCAATGGTATAAAGTAGAACCTTTTGGTGTTACTCCTATTTCATCATAGAAGGGTGTCAAATAAATATTTGCTTTAGTAAGTGTGAGATTGTTGGTGGTGGATTGTTGAGTCCATCACTTAATTTTACTTATAGGAAAGCACACCATACCATAGGACACAAGCAAACATGAGCTGAAAGATCACAGAATTTGGAGAGCTTACATCCCTCCAAGTCAGAAATAGTAAGAGATACACAGAATCAAGTCAGACATTGAAAAGAAAACTTCAGTGGGTTGTATAAATTTCAGACATTTACAAGAGGTATTGTCATTGAAAATGAGTATAACAGACTGTTCTGAGATTGAGTGCCCATAAATCAGTTTCCCTAGAAACTATAGACTGGTTTGTTTTGGAACCTTATTCTCGCCCTTTTCAGTTATATATATATATGTATATATATACATATATATATCAAAGAGCATATTTATTTTTCACTAGCATGCACTAATTACATTGAAATGTTTATACATTAAGGCTTTAAAAACACTGACAATGTACATCACTTTTATACCAGCATTAATTTAAATAACACTAATTTGAAACAATTAAATAATATTGTATCAAAGATATGTATTCTGTTTTGATTTCAGTAAGAGGGTCTGTTGTGTGTGGAGAAGATTAATAAAACTATAAGTTAATGTGATGTCCACGGCTGTGTAACCACCAGCTACCCCCACGGAGTAGCATCACATCACTTTATATCACTGGCCAAAATTGTATTTTGTCTCTCAAGCACACGGCTTGCAACTTTTTAAAGACAATTCCATCTGGACCACTTTCCAGGAATAATTCTTTTAGTGCCTGTCCCTTCTTTAGTACATGTCCATTGCCAACATGTAGTCTTTGCTGATTGGGCAGCTACCTAAACAAACCCATCTTTCAGAGTTCTTACAAAGGATGTCTTCAGAGGGCAATGACTTAACTGGCATAGTCCTTCAAATATCTGTCTCTGAGATGGAAATCTGAACTTGTAATTCAATCCTACATGTAACTTGTTTTCTTTTTTATAGAACTCTGGGAAGCATAAGGCCATAATCTTTGTGACTGAAGCCATCCATATTTGGCGTGTGGACTAGATATTCATCAACTATCGAGTAATAACAGAGTCTGGGTTTCTCTAATAATGGGAGTAGAGATGTTATAATTTACACTTCCTATTTCTTTCCCTTCACAATCGACGCTTGAATTTCAATTCTAACTCCTTTATTACGCCAATCCTGAAGACTATGCCAAAAGAACTCGGCAACACTGTAAATTCTTCAAAGTGCCCCTCCATTGCCAGTGATTTTATGGACTTCATCTCTCTGTCGTGTGAAAATTAATCCTTTTCCATCTGTATACCCTGACCATGTTTTGGAATCCCCTTACCGTCCCAAATATCCTGAATTCGAGGTATCTAAACTCATGGAGCAGTTGTCCAGGGAAAGGAGAAGCAACAGCCCCGCCCCCAACCCTTGGGAGCAGAAAGGAAAAGAATTATCCTAAAGAATTATTTAAAAACCAAGATGCAGCAGACAGAAATAAAACCATGGGTGCATAGACTAATGTCCCAGGGGTCCAAAATCTAACCCCAAATGGGCAATAATTTGTTTGGCATTAAACTAAACCAGTTTGATGAACTCAAATGCCCTCGGCTCAATAGGCAGGACTCTCCGAGGAGCCTGTGTTACTTCCCTCACTTAAGCGCAGATTTGTAATAAAAATCCTAGTACCAGTGGCATGGTTTTTGGACACATCGGAAGCTAACCACTTGGAGAATCCTATTTGAGAGGTCAGAAAACTCCACACTTAAAGATCGGTTTATAATTTACGAAGAAAATAGAAAGTTTTGTTTCTCTGAGTTGAAATTTGAAGAGCACGGCGGGAAATATTGCAAGTTTTTGGCATAAAGCTTTGTGCTTTCTTCATAATTTGAAACCAGCGTGAAGCCTGAGGCTTCGGGGATCATTTTGTGAGAAAAACCGAGCGATTCGATGTAGCGAATTTTGATATTTTTGGCATTTTTTGAGGTGTAACAAACACAACTCGGGATCCGAGAGGACACTCTGCGGCTGCCAGCGAGGCGGGCTGGACAGCGCACCAATCACCGCGCAGCTCCGCCCTATATAAACGGGAGGGCGCAGCGGCGCGGCCCGAGTCCCGGCCAGTGCCTCTGCTTCCGGCTCGACTTGCTCTCCCCGCGCCCGCCTTCAGCATGTCCGAGACTGCGCCCGCCGCGCCCGCCGCTCCGGCTCCTGCCGAAAAGACGCCCGTGAAGAAGAAGGCCCGCAAGTCCGCCGGTGCCGCCAAGCGCAAGGCGTCCGGGCCCCCGGTGTCCGAGCTCATCACCAAGGCCGTCGCCGCGTCCAAGGAGCGCAGCGGCGTGTCCCTGGCGGCGCTCAAGAAGGCGCTGGCGGCCGCCGGCTACGACGTGGAGAAGAACAACAGCCGCATCAAGCTGGGCCTCAAGAGCCTGGTGAGCAAGGGCACCCTGGTGCAGACCAAGGGCACCGGCGCCTCGGGCTCCTTCAAGCTCAACAAGAAGGCGGCCTCCGGCGAGGCCAAGCCCAAGGCCAAAAAGGCGGGCGCGGCCAAGCCCAAGAAGGCGGCCGGGGCGGCCAAGAAGCCCAAGAAGGCCGCGGGGGCCAGCGCCCCCAAGAAGAGCGCCAAGAAGACCCCCAAGAAGGCCAAGAAGCCCGCGGCGGCTGCAGGAGCCAAAAAAGCGAAGAGCCCGAAAAAAGCGAAAGCAGCCAAGCCCAAGAAGGCCCCCAAGAGCCCTGCGAAGGCCAAAGCGGTGAAACCTAAGGCGGCCAAGCCAAAGACCGCCAAACCCAAGGCAGCCAAGCCAAAGAAGGCGGCAGCCAAGAAGAAATAAGTTTCTTTGGCCAACTGCTTTGAAGCTCAACACAACCCAAAGGCTCTTTTCAGAGCCACCCCAGACCTCAGGAAAAGAGCTGTTGCACACTATTCGTAGGGGGCGTGGCGGGAGGGCAGACGCTCCGCGGAGGGGCGGCACCTCCTGCACAGGGAGGTGGTTCTCACCGCAACGAGGTGCAGCCACAGGGGGCCCCTCGAGGAACTGAATGGTTTGGGGAGTTGTAGATCCACAGAACATCGCTGATGTTCCTATGCGGTGCGCCGAGTGTTCGTTCCCGCCCCTTTACTTTCTCTGCTGCCAAGAAATGAATTCGCGCACACTGACTGCGAGGGGGGAAAGGACAGTACTGGGAGGGAAAACCGATCCGGGACAGTTTTCGTAGGCACTTCCCCCCCCAGTAAAGGCAAAGTATTAACATAAAGATGTTATAAAGGCACATTGCAGAGCTCCTGCTCGTAAATCTATTAGGTTGGCGGCCAGGAGATATGTGCTTCTTAATGAGTATCCGCATGAGTATTAATTCGGTACCTTCTAGGACCTCAGCAGGACCACCAAGTATCCCGCAATACAGGGCCCAGAGTCCACGTAGAAAGCCATTTGTCCGCACGAAGCTGTCTACCCCAAAATACCTGAAAGCTAAATTCACAAAAGTTTCATTGGTTTCCTGTGAAATCTACAATGCAAGAGCTTCGCAGGCATATTTATAGTAGCTTTGGGCAGCCTACTCTAGGTCTTCTCATTGGGTCGAAGCAAAGTAATAAAGCAGCCAATGAAAAGCCAGACCTGCAAGTGTCTTTAACATTCGCATTTGTGACGACACACTAAAATTAATCCAATCGGGAACGAAATCTTGCTAACCTCATTTGAATACCGCATCTATAAATAAACGGGGCTTTGGCGCGCCTGATTATTTTTCTAGCTCTTAGTTCTACTGTTCTAACTTGACGCTAGGATGCCTGAGCCCACCAAGTCGGCTCCGGCCCCGAAGAAGGGCTCCAAGAAGGCGGTGACCAAGGCGCAGAAGAAGGACGGCAAGAAGCGCAAACGCAGCCGCAAGGAGAGCTACTCGGTGTACGTGTACAAGGTGCTGAAGCAGGTGCACCCCGACACCGGCATCTCGTCCAAGGCCATGGGCATCATGAACTCGTTCGTCAACGACATCTTCGAGCGCATCGCGGGCGAGGCGTCCCGCCTGGCGCACTACAACAAGCGCTCGACCATCACGTCCAGGGAGATCCAGACGGCCGTGCGCCTGCTGCTGCCCGGGGAGCTGGCCAAGCACGCCGTGTCCGAGGGCACCAAGGCCGTCACCAAGTACACCAGCTCCAAGTGAGCCCGCCAAGTAAGCGTCCTGTCATCCAACCCCAAAGGCTCTTTTCAGAGCCACGCATGCTCTCAATAAATGAGCTGTAATCCTTATTCCGAGAGCTATTCTCCGGCTGTCTCCTAAATTTAAATCTGGCTAGGACTTTAATTTCCAATTAGGGCTGTGTAGCAAGTATGTTTTCCGGTTAGTTACAATACCCACCAAAAATTAAGCGCTCACAACAAAAACGGTTCTGTACAGGCATTATTTCTTTAGTTTCACAAAACTAAATGTCAATTTTAAATGGAAATACCATTCCAAGGGTAGAGGTCTCGTTTCCGTGTTCGGGGCTCCAAATTAATCGTGATGTTCAAGGATTTGGAAAGGCTCTCTTACCGGATGCAGAAAGGGTAGTCTCTGAAAACTTCGTTCTGCTCATCTGAAAACTTTGTTCTGCTCAGAGCTTTTCTTTTTTTTTAGCTTATAGATAGGTAATACTGAAAAAAGCTGAAGACAATATGAGTTTTCACGGAAATCTTACATAGGCTTTTCTGGGACCTTTGCAATTGCTCCCCTTCAGCTGGGGGGGCCAAGGTGGGAGGTGGTGTGCGTGGGGGGAGTCTGTGCTGTAATCCAAGAGCACAGAGGGACAGGAAAGGGAAGTTGTCCTGTCTTGGGCCTTCAAATCCCATCACCTACTATAGCTTCTCTCCTAGGAAGTCCTGTTTTATTTAGTCTTCTGGCAGCATTTAGCTGTAAAGCTCTCCAGGTCACGAGAGAGAAGCCCCACTACTCACTCCCATAAGGTGTCTGACTGACTGGGCAATAGTTACCCCAGGACCGAGGGCCTCTTCTCAGTACCCTGGACTCATTCCCCCTGTCCATGGGAGGCACGGACTGAGGAGGGAGAAAGGGAAGGGAAGCCCTCCCTGGCAGGATGTCGCTACTGCTGCACAAGGTCCTGTGGCATAAAAGGTTCCTGCTGCTGGGGAATGGATTATTGTGGGGAAAAGAAATCTGGGGAAAGAAGCTGTGGATCTAGAGGAAAAGGCCAGGAGATAAGCAACCAATGGTTCAGAGTTCACCAAGAACACTGATGAGAAATCTTTCCTGGTGTAGCTGACAACCTCCACCAGTTACATCCTCACAGTAGGATGAACTGGAAATGAACACACACACACACACACACACACACACACACGCCCATACCCACACTCACCATGGAGAATCGCAACAGTGTGCCCTGAGTCTGGGTGCTGAGCGAGGTAGATTCTGGCACCGAGAATTTGGACTACAACTCACTTGTTTCTGCCATCAAAATCACAGAGATTCAGAACACCCAGCCTGAGAATTAATTTAGGGATATCCCAAGCTCGATTTACACCCCTGAGCACCTGGTAAATGCAAATACATATCCTCTGTGGAGGTCTCAACAAATCCCCACAGGTAAGATAACAAAGAGCATGCAGGAGCAACTTCAAAACCCAAATCAACACACAATTCAACAAGACACTGATCAAGAATCAGAGAAGCACACAATTAGAAACAAAAGGAATAAAAAGAAACAGACTTCAGATTGCTTACGTTAATATATTTTAAAAGGGGGGACGCCTGGGTGGCTCAGTAGGTTAAGCCTCTGCCTTTGGCTCACGTCATGATCCCAGCATGCTGGGATCAAGCCCCGAGTCAGGCTCTCTGCTCAGAGGGGAGCCTGCTTCCTTCTTCCTCTCTCTCTGCCTGCCTTTCTGCCTACTTGTGATCTCTCTCTGTCAAATAAATAAACAAAATCTTTAATAAATATTAAAAGAAAAAAAGGACATTTGAAATATGCTGAGGGACTAAGAATACAAAGAATTTTCCAAAAAGATTTGAAAGAACCAAACACAAATTCTACAAATGAATCTATCTGTATATTAATCATAAGAAAATTAAAATAAAGGCTTGCTGGATAGGCCAAATAGTCAATTGACCCCAGATGAAGAATTTACATGAACTCTGTAAGCAGAGTTGATCCAAAATGCGGGGAGAAAAATGTGAAAGTAATTTAAAAGATCTGGAATTAGGAGTAAATTTGGCTACCATATGTCTAATCAGGGTATCAGAAAGAACCAGAGAGAATGGTACTGGTGTGAATGTTCAAAGATCATAGCTGAGACTTTTTAAGAGCTGACAGATTACGCATGTAATGAAAAATGAAATAGAGTGAAATTCATACAACCAATGCGGGGATATGCTGTCACACTGTAAACTAAGCCCCATAAATTCTCCCAACAAATGTAAGGCCGATGTTCACAAGGTTCTGCTTTCTAATCGCTTCTGGCACATGACATCAGACTGAAAAACTGTTATAAATTGGGGGGGGGGATTGAGAAATTGATTATTTACATGCACCTTATATCTATTTGATTACTAAACTTTGTCAATTCTAATCAATATTTAATGATTTAAAGGCCTGTTTTCATTTTCATTACACATAATACTAGCAAATCAAAAGTTTTATATTCTTTCCTATGTCTATTTCTGTTAATTACTTTTATCAAGTTACTGCGTTAGCTAAAATCACAAACTATTTGCCATGTTGGGTGTGCTGGCAGACATCACTGTCTTTATCTTCCTTCACATGGAAGTGGCTTTGGTAGTTCATGCCTTGTGAAAACCTTGTTTGCCTGAGTGCAAATGTGAGCATGTAATCTGTATGTGTTGATTAGTTTCCTTCTAAATATATTTGAAGAGTAGTTATTAGGAATGCTGTGTGAACTGTTGCATTTGATGGAATCATGTGCTTTTCCTCCTTTATCCTGCTACAATGCAGTACAGGTAGATTTCCTAATGTTACTCCATATTTGCATTCCCAGGACAAATTTTATTTGGTTGTGTTCTATTATTATCTTAAACAATATTATTATAATATTATATATGTAATATTATATTATAATAAATAATATTATCTTAAATAATGCACACATTTTAGTGTTTCAGAGATATTTTACCTTCTCTGTTCATAAATAAAATCATGATGATTTTCTGGATGAAAACCCATGGATGGGTTCATCCATGGACATGATGTCATTAGGATTAGGATAATGTCAAAAGCTTAATTGTGGTCCTTCCTCTATTCTCTACTGCTGTGTAACAAACTACCTAAAAACTCAGCAGCTTCAATCAACGAACATTTATTATCTCATTTTGTTTCTGGGTTGTCGGGAATCCAGAAGTGACTTGCTGGGAGGTTCTGACCAGGGTCTCTCATGAGATTGAAGTCAAGACGTAAACATGGGCTGCAGTCACCTGAAGGCTTGACTGTGTCTGGAGGGTCCCCTTGCAAAGTCGCTCACTCCCGTGCTACCCACGTTCCTGCTGGCTCTTGGCAGGAGGACCTGAGTAGGACCTCCGTGCCCTGCCACGTGGACCGCTCAGGAGGGCTAATGGACTCTCTTCCACAAAGACAAATCAGAGAGAGAGTGGGGGAGGGATTAGCCACAGTCTCTGTGGCCTAGTTTCAAATGTCACACGCTGTCACTTCTGCCACTTTCTATTAATTAGAAGCAAGTCACCTAAATGCGGCGTATATTCAGAAGGGACCTGGCTCCACCTTTCAAGGTAAGGGGAATACATTTGTGTACACAGTGCACATCGCCGCTTCATCTCTTTTATGCTTTAAATACTTGACTGTAAACAGTACTTGTGCCTTAAAGAGTAGATAGAAATCAGCTGTATGATCATCTGGACCTAACACTTTTTTTTTCTTTTTTTTTGAGGGTGGGAAGGAAGATTGTTCTTTATTTTTTTTTAAAGATTTTATTTATTTATTTGACAGACAGAGATCACAAGTAGGCAGAGAGGCAGGCAGAGAGAGGGGGGAAGCAGGCTCCCTAGTGAGCAGAGAGCCAGATGTGGGGCTCGATCCTTCTGTGAGCCGAAGGCAGAGGCTTAACCCACTGAGCCACCCAGGTGCCCCTGAACCTAATATTTTGATAAGTGGTGGCTCGTTAAGAATTTCAGGAAATTAGACTACACTGACCATTATCCACAGAGACAAAAACCAATCAAACTCCCACATGATGTCCTGAGGGAGTTTTCCTGAGATTGTAAGGGACCAAACAGTGGTCTGTACAGTTACATAAAACCAGCACATTGCAGGTACTTAGAGAAAATACTGAATTAACTGAATGAATTCATCTGAGAACTCCTAACCAGCTACCTGCACAGCAAATCTCCCATTCATGATGCTTGTAGGAATGTCCAACAAAACTGACAGGTGTGAGAAAAAAAACAAAAGTGAAAATAAATACAATAGAAAGGAACAGCCCTAGAAAATACTTTGGCTTATGAAAATATAAGAAATGAACAATATGGAAAAACATAAATTAATAAAATTTGCAGTTGAACAAGAAGTTAAAGCTAAATTAATATATTTCAAAGGTAGAATCTGAATTGATGAATGAGTCATACTTAAAAATAACCTACCATGTTCAAAGTGCAAGGTAACAGATTAAGAGGTAGCAAAAGGATGTTTTAAAAGAAGAAATTAAAGAGCATAATTTAGTCATGAAGATCTTTAAGGATATCCTTGACACATATCAAAATTCCCTATTCAATTGTACCATGGCAATGATTCAGAATATTTCTTATAAATCAGTCATTCAAGAGGTAGTCATCAAATGCCTCTGGGCCAGGCCCTAGAGATATAAAGAGAGATGAAGTTGTTCTTGACCTTCTGGAGCCCTTAGGTTTGTAGACCATCAAAGAGACTTAAAGCTAATTGCTTGCTTTTTTTTTTTTTTTTTTTTTTTTAAATCATCAGCCACTAAGACCTAAAAAAGTATTTATCACTCTGTGGAAATATGCTGGCAGGTGAAAAGAACTAGGTTCATATGGGAACTACAAAAATCATTAAATTAAGGCAAAATATTCATCCAAATATGTAAGTAATAAACAGAATATAGTAATACTAATATCATTGTGACATAGTGAAAAGTTAAGGAACAGTCCCATTAGACTGCCCTCATGTCTGACATCCAAAACCATCCTCCTATTTGGTAATTCTCACAGATGGCTCACAGAATTCACTAAAAGTTATTATAGTCAAGGTTGGGGTTTATTATATCAAAAGGATACTGATTAAAAACAAGCTAATTTCACTCCTATGTGGAATTTTAAGAAACAGAACATAGAGGAAGGGAAGAAAGAAATAAAATAAGATGAAAACAGAGAGGAAGACAAACCATAAAAGACTCAACTCTAGGGACGCCTGGGTGGCTCAGTTGGTTAAGCAGCTGCCTTCGGCTCAGGTCATGATCCCAGCGTCCTAGGATCGAGTCCCGCATTGGGCTCCTTGCTCGGCAGGGAGCCTGCTTCTCCCTCTGCCTCTGCCTGCCATTCTGTCTGCCTGTGCTTGCTCTCTCTCCCTGTCTCTCTGACAAATAAAATCTTAAAAAAAAAAAAAAAAAAAAAAAAGACTCTTAACTCTAGGAAATGGAGTGCGGTGGGTGGGGGGATTTGGTGACTGGGTGACGGGCATTATGGCAGCCACTTGATGGAATGAGCATTAGGTGTTCTATGCAACTGATGAATCACTAAATTCTACCTCAGAAACTAGTAATACACAATAGGTTAATTAAATTTAAAAGTTTTTGTTTTTGTTTTAAATAAGCCAAGGTAAGAGGCACATGAACAGAGTCTCTAAGGGGTCCCAACTCAGAGCTTCTAGTAATCCTTTTCCTTTGTGGGTGTGGGGAGTGTTAATGCCTCCTGCAACACAACATTACAACAACACAATACACATTGCCAACCACAGGCCTTTATCACATAAACATGTTTGACTGTTGACTGTCCACATGCACAATCTTTTAGCCTGCAGTCCTGACGCCACATGGCCCAAAGCTCCCAACACAAAGGACATTATTACACTCTCCCATGCAGCCCAAGGCCTCTTCCTAAACAGATACTCTCATGCTGCAGGACATTCCAAGGGCCCAGACATCACCTCCCAGCAAAGGGCAAAGGCCACACCTTCCTTTGGATAACGTTACTGCTTTACCACACACATAGTCCTAAGAAAATCCACATTTTTATGAGTTAGATATCTGTCATTGACCATAACTTGAATTCTCCAACTATCTGCTTTTTTTGATAGTTCTGTCCCATAGTTTTGGCTATTTAGATCGACTGTGAACCCAAAAGTTTTATACGCAGTGTTCTTATTGAAGGCTATTTTTTGTACTTTATTCAGATGAACGGCTTCAGCAGTCTCCTCCTTGACTTATACTCCCAACTGCCTTCCAAACCCTGGCTGCAGGAAAGAAGACTGAGGAGAAGTGGAGATCATGTTAGGGGAAGTTCTGAGTTCCTGACCTTCATTTTGCTGGCGTGGGCAAGTGGCACTACACAGGGGAAAAGGCTCTCTTGGCTTTACTTGAACAGCAGCATTTGAGTGACTTTTCCTTTCATAACCGTGACACCTGCTATCATGGATAGGGAACAGGAATTGTGGAAATGTGAAGGACTAACATTTTAGAATTTTGTCTAAAAGTTCAACCATGAAGGTTAAGCTGTGTTTTGTCAGTACAAAACAGTATGTCTCACATCCAAGTTATGGCTACTTTTTAGGAAAGACGGAGGAGCATAGGGGGAAGAATAAAGGTGAGAGAATTGGAGAGAGACTCAGAAAAAGAACGGAAGAAGCAAATGGCTACTCTGAAAGGAGAGACAGAGCCTGAAGACCCAAGAGAAGCCAGAGAATGCTAGTTGGAGAAAGCTGAAAGGGAAAGGGCGAGATGAGGGGATAGACCTCGTCACGTTTGGGATGCTTTATCTGGGGGTACCACCTGTTACACACCTGTTACACTCCCCACATTTCTTGGGTGTCGGGGTGAGTGGATGGATTACAACGCAACCACATCTGGGAGACACTCTCTGACCAGCACAAGTAAGATGGCGCCCTTCTATCCCATTCTTAACTTATTCTGTTCATTCTTCTTCATTACACTTAGCAAAACTGACATGAATTTGAGTATTATTTCCTCCTCCCATTCTTTAGACTGAGTCTCATTTTCTGAGTCTCACTTTCCCCATTTATATAAGAAAAAAAGAGTATCATATTATATCTTAGAATTATTTTAAGGATTGCGGTAAGTCATGCAAAGCTCTTAAATCAGGTGTGGATATTTTGTAATCACTTAACAATTGTTAGCGACTATTACATTTTCCTTCTTGCTGAATTAAAATGAGAATTAGAGTAGCCAATTCTCTTCAGGTCAAAGACTCAAGGAAAATACGAGCCTTTGAACTACTCGAATACCAAGTAGTTAAATCCCCAACAAAGATAGTTGGGAGTTTTGGAACAAAGATCATTTTGTTCAGGAATATCTCTTGACTAAACATGATGTGACTCATTATCTGATCATGCAAACGATGACTAAAGTGTAGGTAGCATTTAAAGAGAGTTATATGAGCACACGTAAAAAAAAAAACTACCTTGTATACCAAATGTTAATGCTGATGGCAAAAACACCTAACAAACTCTTTATTTCTTCAGTTAGGGGAGACGTATGAATGCAGAGAAAAAATGAATGCAAACAGTAAAGGAATCAGCTCACAGAAATTACGAAGTATGAAAAGTGATCTGCCTGAAAATGATTGGTTAATGTGAATATTCTGCCCAGATCCAATCCTGGTTTGCTGTACATTGCTTCATCAGGAGAGCCTTAGCTAAGTGGAGGAGCCCAAACAGTGTTTGGCTTTTTCATTTTATTTTTTGTTTTTATTGTAAAAATAGAATTTACTTCCTTACAGGCCCAGCGACTGGGAATTCGTTATTTACCACCGGTACCTTTGATGGAGAAGTCTTAAGTGAGGGCCACACGTCTGTAGAGGAGATGTTATATGAGTACTAAAATCTGGAGACATAGAATTCTGCATTCAGTGTTGAGTCCAATCCTTCTCCTAGATCTCGCCTTTCCAGACATACAATTTATTTTTCACTTTATCCTCTGGCGTCCAAGTCTGAGTGGGTAAGACCTAAGCCCTGTGGAAGGTAAACAGCTTGGTTTAGCTCAGCTGCCATTGGCGGAGTCACCCCCAGCATCGGAACTAAGGGAAACACGATACTTCAAAGCAGTCCCAAACTTCAGCGTGCACCCAAATCACCTGAAGTAGTCTGTAAACTACTGGGCCCCACCTCCCGGATTCTGACCCGCTAGATCTCTAGCAGGATCCGATTGTTTGCGTTACTCTATTACCCAGCTGCTGCTGATGCTGCCGGTCCGGGGACTCGCGCCAGAGAACTGTGATTTCAACCAAAAGAGGGGATTTCCTTGAAATACTAGTACCAAACACCAACGCAGTCACACTCAGGTGTAAACTGGACCTGAAGAGTCCTACCAACTGGCAACGGCCACTGTCACCCTCCGCGTCCGCGCAAGCGTGCTGAGGCCCGGCAAGCCCCACCCCCTCATACCCGTCTCCTGGCCACGCCCTCCATACCGCCCCCTCATTGGGCCGTTTCTCCGCACCCGTCCCGCCCATTGCCCCAACGAGTCTTACGTCACATTACGTCCTTCCGGCTCCCCCGCGTGGTCGCGCGCCTCCAGGCTGCTTCCGGTCGCCTTCGGCTGGTCGGGTTCCCGCGGCGCCCCCTGCTGGTGCGCAGAGGCTGGTCACCCGGGCTCGCGGAGCTGAGGCTGGACCTTCGCCACTGGACACTCGGCGGTCCGCGGAGAAGAGCGCCGAGCCGAGTGCTGACCCGCCCGAGCAGCAGGACAGGAGTGTCTCGGGGTCCCTCCTGTCCGGCTGTGGGTGAGCCGGCCCCGTCCCTCTTCTGTAGTGGCCGAGGGACTCTCACGGGATGTCCGCGGGGCAGCCGGCTTGCACACCAGGTACTCCTGGTCCGCAGATTTCTAGAGTATTTCGTGTGCGCGTATATGTATGTGTGTGTGGATAATAATTCCCTACTTGGTAATTCTGTTTTGTTTTGTTTTTTTAAATTTCATGGTCAGGTGCACGCAGTCCTCCATCCATTCGGCACAGTGGGCACAGGCCCCAGGGTCCTTTTTGAGGCGCATCAAATTTTTAATTTCTTCCGAAGTCAGAAGATAAATATAAACTGTGACGTTTACCAAAACGCTCTAATATAGAATGTCAATAAATTATCCTTTTTGTAATTTAATAATGTTATTAATTGTTATTATTTTAGTGGAGGAAGAGGTCCAAGAAGTCAGAAGTCCCTAAGTTCCACGAAAGACAGTGAAGCCTTGGGAGCAGGTAACACACTGCCCTTCCCAGTTATTTTTATTTACCTTAAAAACTCGTTTGTTGTTGTTTGCAAATACCCAGATACATTTCCCAGTTCTTTCCAGATGTGAATCGTGTAATTCTCATAACACACTTGTGAACTATTATCCCAATTACCCGCATGTATATGGAGTCATCTCAATCTTAATTTATACTTACCCCCATGTCATACAGTTAGTAAGTGGCAGGGGGGATTCTGATTTTGACCTGGGGTCCTTGCCCTAACCCACTATACTAAAGACATCTCTTGGTAACCTTACATTCGCAATTAATTCAAGTGACAACAGGTAAAGTTTAGACCAAACTCTAGCCAGGCTACTCTGAGCCCTCTTCTCTTATAAACACTGGAACAAATATTAAAATAGTTTTAACAGATCAAGGCTATATCCCTAAGATGACCCTAGCCCCTCTTAAAGTGCCTGTCCTAAATCAAAACCTACCATTCTTTACTTTTTTTCTCTCTTTTCTTTCTTTCTCTTTTTTCTTTCTTCCCTTTCTTAGAATCGTCTTCACTATTTTTGCTCACGAATGTGCATTTTACAATGTTACCAAAACTTCAGTGCACTTTTGTGGCCTCACATTAAAACTTTAGTTTATTCTGGAATTTATGAACATCCTAGCGTATGGCGTCATCACAAAACATAAACATAGTACAGTGTATGTCTGTCTCTTAAATGAAATCAATCTTGTTTTATGTCCTTCAAGGACATTTTATAGTTTATTCGTATAGATTTGGAATTTTTTTTCTTTGACGTAGACTCCTTAGACTCTGAAATACTGATGGGAATGATGTCTGGTTTTCCTGCTTGGTTTCCAACGAGGGTATTGTTAATATATACAAAAGCTATGAATTGTATGTGGTGATCATATATCCACTAATCAATCCTATTGTGCTCTATTTGATCTATTAGATCTCAATTTTATTGTGCTCTCAATTTGATCTATTAGATCAAATTGTTTATAGAGTCTTGTGGCTTTCTTTAATGACATTGTTTTCAAAAACTAAAGATAACAGTTTTTCCTTGCTGAATTTTTCTCTATCCTTTTTATACTTCTTGTCTCATGGTGCTATCTGGGCCCTGGTGCCATGTGGAATGGGGGTAGTACCACAGAACTTTTGTCCTTTTTTTTTTTTTTTTAACTTTTCAGGAATCCGAAAATCGTGCCATTATATGTTATGCTCGCTGTAGCTACTCCATATAAAATAAACATCTACTCCCTCTTGTTCTAGTTTGTTCAAAACATGTATGATGAAAAATTATTCTATTCTAGCAAATAGTTTTTCAGTATCTATGGAGATGACCACAGTTTTACACTACTAATATATTACACTGGCAGATTTATGATGTTAAACTTTTCCTCCACTCTTGGAATAAACTGATGATATACTGTTATATGTTAAATAATATATGATATACTGTTATACTGATATACTGTTATATGTTAAATAATATAACTTCCTGGATTCCATTTGCTTGCTTTTTAAATGGAGCTTTTCTTAAAATAAATGTTCATAAGTAAGACAAAACTATGATTTTCTGTCTTTTTTTTGTATTGTTCCTGTTCAGTCCTGATAATAGGTTATAGATTTTCAAAAGAAAAAAGGTAAGAGATCCATTTCCTACTGAAACAGCTCTTATAAAATTGGGATTATCGATTCCTTCAATTTCACTTAAACCTGTAAAACCCAACTGTGCTTCGCATCATTTGGGTTGAAGGGTGTAGAAGAGATTTTTGTTTTAAATTGCCCATCCTATTTCCTTATAATCATAATTTGCTTATTCACCTTGTTCATCACTTAGTATTTTTTCTTGAAAATTATCCTTTTCTGTTAATCTTTTAATAAAAAATCTATCCTTTTTTCATTTGTAAAACTTATTCATAATATTCTCATGGTAGTGACATTTCTTTTGGTAGTGACATTCTCTTCTTTATTCCCATAATTTTCCCTCTACCCCTGCCCCCCATCCCCATATGCACAGACATTTTTTTTTTCCTAATTAGTTTTGCTAGAGGCTTGTCTATTATTAGGTTTTTCAAAGAA